TAGTCCTTGATAGTTTAGGAATTTTGAATTTGTCTTCTTTTTTTCTAGACATCCAGTCCCTATAGTTTTTGAAGCTTTTCCATTACTGCATGACATATCTACTAAAGATTAATTTGTTTAAATAATTTCACATGAGATTATCATTTAAACAAAAAATTTAAGTTTTATAATTCAATTTTGATAAAATAATTTTGTTTAAATCCGTTACATAATAAAGTAATGCTATTATCGAAATATTATTTTTTATTTTTGCCCTTTTTAATTACGAATCCTAGCTTCGCCTCTCCTTCTAATTGCCGTCGGTGGCTCTCATCGGCAACAACCTCTTCTTCTTCTTCTTTTTATTCATCGTTTTAGGTTATTTGTTTTTTATTGTCTATAGATCTAAATTCAAAAATTAGATTTAGATTTATGTGATAATGCGTGCACTATTTGTCTTCTCACAAATTTTTTATTTTTGAGTAAAGATATGATGGTTATTGTTAGTCGAAGGAGATTGATAATGATGACTAGTTTTGAATGTTCTATTAATGAGGTTTGGCAGCGTAGCTCATTCTTATTTTGATTTACGATGACTCAAACTCATTTGTGTCCGTGAAATACAATTGATTTCTATTGGATAACCCATATTTGAGAATTTCAAAAAGTTTTATTTGTCATTCAGCTCATTGAAAGAATCAGGAGATTATCATACATTGTTGATATTATCAATTGTTTTTTCAAACAACAAGTTATAGTTTCTCTGAATTTTAGAGGGTGTTTTTTGTCACCCAGATCATCACAAGGAGCAGCTGCTACTTGGATGTAGTATGGAAATAATAATGCATTTGTACTTTATTTAGTATGCTTTCTTTTCTCAAAAAGAAGAAGAAGAAGAGGAGGAGGAGTAAGGTGTGTAATGATATATATATTTTTTCCTTCTTAAATTATATTTTTTTTTATAAGATAAACAAGATCTTTTTATATATAATTAACATTACACTTATATATTCCTAACTAGGACGATGATAGAACTTCAGCTAACGTAATGAAAAAAGGAAAAAGGACATTTTTTACAGTGTAATAAGTGATTTATTTGACAATCTGTAATAATTTATTTATTACAAATGGACTAGAATTTGTTTTTTAAAGGTACAATGTACTTTTTGAATTATAATTGTACAAAAACTAGCACAGTTATACATATAATAATAATTAGTTAAGTTTTTTTATTCATAAGTTACTTTATTACGGTATAAAAAATAAATGTATTTAATAGTCTATAATTTGAAAGCAAAACAATTTTAGCAATTTTAAGTAGTCATAGAAATTGATTTCTTATTGCCTTGGCCAATCCATATATAACAAAAAAAAAAAAAAAAAAAATGCATCTTGAGCTCTCATATTATTCTTTTTAGTATTGGAAAAATGATAAATTTTATAATACTTAATGAGTAAGTAGTAACATGTATAATATTTTATGGACCCATTTTTAGGATAAAATTGAAAATTTTTTTAGTAAAGGTGAAAAATTTTCTTATCATTTTTTATTGGTTCGGATGTAATTTTCTCTCGTTTTTTTATAAGTACATATCACTAGTTATTTCTAGAAAAATCACTAGATATATCTAATATTATATTCACTCCTTTTTTATTAAATATACAATCCACTATTTTTTATTAAAAATTTTCTGTCCATGAGGAAGCTGACATTTTTATGAAATGAAAAATACAACTCTAAATATATTGAATAATTCCTCATAGCTTGTTGCCTTTATTACGTGTTGGAAATTAATTCTACGAGTGTGCTTTACAGATTTTAGTTAATGGTACGTCAATCCTTTATGTGGATAGAGATCAATGATTGAGACCATGGTGCTGATATATATATTTTTTTAACCAAAATAAAATAAAGTGGAATTCCCATGATTTAGTCAAAGCCAAACAGTAATAAAATAAATGGTATATTCTAATTCAAATATTTATCCTTATTTTTGTAAGAATAATAATTTCTTGCTTATCAAAACTGTAACCATCCTCCTTCCCAACACATGATAATTTTTTATACCATCCACAAGTTGGATGACATCTATTGTTTAACAATACTCAAATTTTCTGAAGTCAATTTATAATAGTCCTAAAAGTTTGTTTTTCTGTAATTCGAAGACCCCAAAAGAGGCATGAGTATGCAATAAGGTCATACGCGAAATCGAGGAGGTGCCTTCTCTCCGTAATGTTTTGACGTTTAAAGCTCAACATGGATCATGACACTTTTGACCAGCCCATGTAAAGTAAAGGTGTTGGGCTGACATTCATTTCCAACAAATTGGCCACTGTAAATAAAGCGCAGCAGTCATAGGATAAGGGTGGCTGGCGATCTCTTTTTACAGACCACTTCGCTGTCAAAGGCAGCTCGGCTAGCTTGAAAAAAATGATGAACCCCCAACTTTGGAAGGGGGCGCAAACCAGTTGGCCCCACAAAGCACCAACCTTCCAAAAGAAAATAAATAAGCACGGCCCCAAAAGTCACACACCATACACAGTCATACCTGGCCTGTCCAATCATGCAAGAGGCTTACTAGTCACGCTAAAAAGCCACAACAGAAGTTGGGAGCACAGTCACGTGAAGGGAAGGTTTTGCAACGGAAAATGGAGGAGGCGGAAGGAAGGGATTTTAAACATATCATGTCATGGCGTTGGCATATAAGGGGGGAAAAAAGCAAAAAACAAAGAAGATATTGTTTGTAGCCATCCAATGACAAAGACGGATTTGTACACGCGACATTATATATACTGACAAAAGTGACACTGCTCGATACCAAAAACACAAAGGGTATATATATATATATTCACCGCACGCCGGCATGCATCGAGTTCCCGTCGCATACGTGCCTGCCCGCTCCTTTTGATTCAATTTGTTAGCTTGTCCCCTTCATTTCCGCGTTCTATGAATGGATGGTTTTGCAACGGCGTCGTCTCTAGCTCGCCTTTTGGCCGCCTCTTCATGCTCTTTTAGCAATGGAACTCCAAATTTATGTTCACGCTTTTATTATTATTTTTTATTTGAATGCATGCTGTTAATTTAATTTATTAAGCGTTTATGTATCTGTCATCTTGTTATATGTGATGAAAAATTATTTTAATAAAAAAGGAAAATCAGAAATTGAAATTAAAAAAAAAGATAAAATAAGAAAAGCAAAAATAAAAAAAGAAAAAATCCTTTTGTTTTCAATTTGATAATAATTTTTTTAGTTTAATTTTTTTTCTACTCTCGTGAATGTGGAATTGTAGTGGTGGAGATAGCTTGTAATGCCAAGTAAATTTAGTATTAGTAGTTTAGGTTTTATTTTTGTATTGAAAATTCTAAATATATTTATTGATATAACTTTCTATTTTTAATTTCAATATCTATTTTTTCACAATATTTACATTGGAATAATACGTCAATACCTTATAAACTAAATTAATATTAGGAATGTAAATAGTAAAAAGGTAACAATTCAAATAAGTAAATTAAAAGTTAAATAATAATAAAAAAAATAGACACTAAACATGCAATTTTTTGTTCTTTCGACAATAAGACAATAGTTACATACACGTACCTAATATATAAACTCATCTAATAAATAAGAAAACATGAGTGATTTCCTTATAAATAAAATTATCAGAAATTACTTGTCTGAATAAATTAGGCAAGGAATGCCTAATTAATCACACTGATCATCATTCAATCAATAGTGCCTCCTCCACCACCCCCCCCCCCCCCACCCAAAATCGTTTTATGATTTGAAGTCCAAATTTGTGATTTTCTTGTTTGTAACCAAGAGAATCATCATGGAGCATATTTTTAATATATTGAATTTGATTCAGACTAATTGAATGATATATGTTTTACAATTATGGAGCTTTTCGGGAGTCTTTTAGTTTTTTTGAAAGAAAATTAAAGTTATTGTTATGTAATATATCAAGTATACTGGTGAATAATTCAATTTCATATATATATATATATGTTCTTTGACAATCTGACTTTCTGAATAAACTATCTCAAAAAATAGCACATTTGATTAAAATAAAATATTTCAAAAAAGAAAAAAAATCTTTTTAAGTAGAGATATGATAGAAAATGCATATTTTTAATTGATCATTATATCAAATAATAGTCACTTGACGATGAGGAACATTATATAATCAATAACATGTATAACTTGGGTCTCATTGAATTAATTTCTCAGCTGACATATAATCCACCTTTTGTGAATGTTTTGGCATTTCCTCTTCAATCACCTTATAATATAATTTTTTAGTGGCTATGAAAAATATATATATATAGCTAAGCAACTAGGTCGGCCATTAGGCATTTATCCACGAATCCAAGTTCAAACTCAGGCACTCCTCGAACTAATTATATACTTTGGCAGTATTTGGACACAGACCATTTGGTCAAACTTAAAACAAAAACGGTCCCAGAGTCTGTCCAAATATGCCGTGCCAAGATTATAAATCCAGCCATCCTACAATCGCTTTACCAAAAAAAAAAACAAAAGAAAGCTTCATTCAATTCCTATATTACCCCCATCAAACCAAACGACACCGTTCAAGATTTGCTTCCATCTAAACGTCGCCTCCACTCAATCGCTCATCCCAAGCTCCACACAGCACCTCACCTCACCACTCTCCTTTTTGAAAAGCCTAAACACGTGCTAAGACCGTGATCCCGGAATAAAGCCTCTAGTGGCATCTCTGTAAATATCTGAACTTTTCAAGGTTAAATGCATTCCCTCTCTCTATTTAGCTCACCTTCTCCAACCCACCTCCCTCATTTAACCACTCCCTCTCATAATTAATCCCAAAAAAAAAAAAGCCAAAAACCGCCAAATCCGTATGTTACTCGAGAAAATTGAAGCTATCAAAAGACTCTATTCATTCAATTGAGTGAATTTCTTCTTCGTTCTCTTTTTCCAGTTTTGTTGACAGAGAGAGAGAGAGAGGGAGAGAGAGGAGGGGTTAATAATAATATAAGAATGACGTCGGGTACGAGAATGCCGACGTGGAAGGAGCGAGAGAACAACAAAAGAAGGGAAAGGAGAAGGAGAGCGATCGCAGCGAAGATCTATTCAGGACTTAGAATGTATGGGAATTATAAGCTACCAAAACACTGCGACAACAATGAAGTGCTTAAAGCTCTCTGTAACGAAGCTGGTTGGACTGTTGAAGAAGATGGCACTACTTACAGAAAGGTACGCTACCTACACAAATATGTATTAACTATAGCAATGACTTCAGTTTTAACTGCTTTAATTTTCCGGTAAGCTGCGCACGTTAGAATTTTAGTTGCTAGTTGTGATAGGATACGCTGGTAATTAAGATTGATAGATCTGAATCTGAGATGAACTCTGTTTTGATCGTTTTGCTGCTTGTTCGAACTGAGAAATTGTAAATAAGTGTTTTTTTTTTTTTTGGCTTTTGGTATGCTAACATGCGCCTGGTGAACTTGGCGCATGATCGAGGGCGGTATTCTGCATACTGACGGACGGTTAGGATTTTGATTTGGTTGATGGCGTGAAGAAAGTGTACGTTTTTCTGTTTTGTTGACGCACAGAACACAGGATCTTAAGATTCGGGTTGTGTTTTTTGTGCTTTCATTCTTACACGAACACGGTAGACAGTAACTCTCAGATTGCACTGGATGACAAAAGTGTTTCCTTTTCTTTCCACCATATCCTGCTAAATTGCAGTGATTTTATGGGTAGTTTGGTCATTTTAGAACAAAATCCATCTCTTAGATTGCACTTTTGCTTTGCTTTAAATGCAACTGATTGTTTCTCTTTTTAATCCCTATCTTCCATTTTTTTTTTTACTTTGCCTGTTTTGGAGATTCATGATCCCTTAGAATTTGTACTCTTTTAACTTTCTTGTTAAAAACTCTCATTTTTTACCTCGAGATTCCCACATTTAATTTCAATTATTTACTTTCTTTAATTCTTTTTATTACTTAGGCTATAATATTTACTTAGGAAGGTGCCGATAAAGGTGAAAAGTTTCTTTAATAAGGAGATAACAAATCCCTGGATTCCATTGATGAAATGTAGTATTATTTTTTAATATAATAATTTAAAAGCAACAAAGCGTGTGAGGAGGGGAGGGGTGTTTGATTAATGTTGTTGAATAGGAACGTGTTGGTTTAGGGTAGATGGCGTGACGTGGGGTGCAGTTTATTGATTGATAACGCTATAGTTTGACATTAATTCCCTCTTTTTAACAAAGTTTTGTCGGCCCCAAATTACCCTTTTGCCCCCACCAGGCCCCGGCCCCACCTTTTTTGGGATATTAGGAAATTGTGCGGGAAGTTGCTGCACCTGCACAATAGCTTGTGTAGTGACTAGTGAGAGCTGTGTGATTTGTTCACGTGTAATGGTGGATCTCACAATTAATATTGTTTAATATAATAGGCAAATCGAATTGCCGGTGATTTTTTAATCTTTAGAAAAGAAAAATCACGTAACTTGTGCTGCAACATGATCTGACCTCAGCATTAGGTTGTAGCATACCTGTTCAGCATTTCTTTTAATAGTTTGTTGTAATTTGAACCATGTACTCTGCTTGATGATTTGTCACTTAGATTTAAAAACTGTAGTCAAATAATTCATTAATCTTGACAAGTTAGGAGATTAACAGTGCAGGTTGGTGGCATGTGATACTAGATGGTCGCTTAACTGGTGAAGAGGGTTAGGTTTTGTCAAAGAGTCGCAATTTATTTAGTTTTATTTTTTGCTTTTAAAAGTGGGAAAGCCTTACCATGCTTCAAATCCTTTGAATAAAAAGTTATGGATTGGTCAATTTGATCGCTTTTCTGGCTTTTAATGGATGAACGTGAATGAGAGAGAGAGAGAGAGAGAGAGAGAGAGGTTTTTATGATTTGGTGAAGCCATTTTAGATCTTCAAATTGTGATGATGGATATCCGTTGTGGAGTTACCTGAACCCTCATGGACATTCAGATGTTAAGTGTATCCAACAACCGAGCATTTCCAAGTCAAATATGATACCTTTTATTTCATTACAGCTACTGTAGCTTGCTAAGAATGAAAGTTCTGAAGTTTGTAGAATGACTGTCATGGTTCAAAATCAAAACCTGCAAGAAGTAAGAACCTCCATATGGCGTAGCCGTAACCTAAGGTGTTGCTAGTTGCCACAGTAGAAGTTTACGACTACTTTCCTCTGTTTGGGTTTCTAGTTATGTACCTAGACATATTCCTTATCAAACCCTCCTGAGATGTTTGAATTATTTGTCTTGCGTAACCGAATCATCTGTTTGCATGCTTATAGGGATGCAAACCTGTGGATCGCATGGATATTATGGGAGGGTCTGCATCAGCTAGTCCATGTTCATCATACCATCCTAGTCCATGTGCATCCTATAATCCAAGTCCTGCCTCATCTTCTTTTCCAAGTCCTGTTTCATCCCGCTACGCTGCCAACGCTAATGGCAATGCTGATGCCAATTCCCTCATCCCATGGCTTAAAAACCTCTCCTCTGGCTCGTCATCAGCCTCACCCAAGCATCCTCACCATCTCTTCATTCACACCGGTTCCATAAGTGCTCCTGTTACCCCTCCATTGAGCTCCCCGACTGCACGGACTCCCCGAACCAAAAATGACTGGGATGACCCAGCTGCTGGCCAATCTTGGATGGGGCAGAACTACTCATTCCTGCCTTCATCTATGCCCTCGTCTACCCCACCCAGTCCTGGCCGCCAGGTCCTACCAGATTCAGGTTGGCTAGCTGGTATCCAAATTCCCCAAAGTGGACCCACATCACCAACATTTAGTCTTGTATCACGGAATCCATTTGGCTTCAGAGAGGAGGCTTTATCAGGTGCAGGGTCACGAATGTGGACTCCTGGACAAAGTGGGACATGCTCTCCTGCAGTTCCGGCAGGCATTGATCAGACAGCTGATGTGCCAATGTCAGACAGTATGGCAGCTGAGTTTGCATTCGGAAGTAACGCAGCAGGGTTGGTGAAACCTTGGGAAGGAGAGAGGATCCATGAAGAATGTGTCTCTGATGATCTTGAGCTTACTCTTGGAAACTCTAGTACCAGGTAAGTTGTAGTAGATATCTGGGCTGAACATTGAAGTTTATTTATTTATTTTTATTCCAGTTTTATTTTGTAATAATTTGTTTTCATGTTACAGATAGGGAGATGAATGGAAGAGGGTGTTGAATGATGAGTTATCCATGGATCTCTCTCCATTTGGCTTCTCGATTCCCTTCAGGCCGTCATGTCAATAACTGTGTATTGCGCATCTTTGGGCCAGACAAGGCAGCTGAGTTAGAAGTACAGTGAGTAGGAGCGCCTGTTCATTTTTCTTTTCTTTATTCCTTTTCCAACAAAAGAGAGAACTGAAAAATTAAATTATAAATAGCTCATGGCGGTGACTTTGCCCCTTCAGTTCAATTCATTCTCCCCAGCTTCCTTTTTTTTTTTTTTTTTCTTTGGAATTCTTTTTTCTTTCTCTCTTTCTTTTCGAAAAAAGAGAAGTGTCCATCATAGCGTTGATACTTGTTTGGTGTGAGTACTGTTTTGTGATTAAAAGTGAAGTTGATTTTAATATTAACTGATTAGTTCTGGAGTTTTGACCACACTGGATCCCTTTTTCTCAGTGTTTGCCTGTCCTGTATTGTTGCATTTTCACCATTCTACTGTTTGCATCACGTGCAGCTATGCAACTTTTTTATTTTACTTGGATCTATGTAAGCTGCCGGATGGAAAGATTAGGGATCGCTACCAAGGGCAAATATAACAGGTAAAACAGTTTTTTATATTAGAACAACTTCCAGAATATCATCACTTCTCAAATCAGCTGCTAGGGGCTTTTATGGAGTGAATTTAAGAAATGCTGTGAACAGATAATGAAGCATTCAGAAGCAAAATAAGCACTTAAGCGACAAAAAAAAAAAAAAAAAAAAAAAAGAATTTTGGCTGATTTTGTACCAGTAAAGGGACAAGTGCTCTTATTCTGAATCACTTGTTTAAATTTTGGATACTCCGCAAACCAATGTGTTATATTTGGAGTACACTGCTATCATTCATATATTCGATTTATCCTCTTTATTTAGTACTTCTATAAAATGGCGATATGATAATTTGGTATTTGATTAAAGGACCCACCCACCCAATCAAATCATTTCGGTTGCATTAGTCATTGAAATCGACAACAGGTAGACGCTGGCACGCCTCTATTTTGATCCATTGGCTGAAATATGTTTTTCCATGATGTAAAAGTAGTTACGACTTGTATAATGATGTAGGACAATGACTGGTCAAGGCATCACCAGAAACATTGGGTGTTGTCCATAAAAGACCTCATTTTGCTTGGGCAAATAAGCAAAGCTGAGAATGATAAATTTTATAATACCCAGAAAAAAAACAACTAATGATATATATTATAATTATTTCATGAATCTCTTTTTTTTTTTTTTTTTAAATATCAAAAGTGATAAAAGAAGATTTCTACCTTGTTATTTTTTTTTAAGTTCTCTCTCCTTTTCCTCTAATTACTGTATATATATTAGTTATTCTTTAAATATTATAATTTTTTTTTCTTAAAGAATGATTATTAAACGCCTTTCAAGCCTCCCTCTCCGTTCCAAAGTTGGTGGTGGCATCTTCGACAAACATCAGTCATCTGCGGCTCTCTTTGACAGTTAGAGAGGACGATACAAGGGAGCCAAAAAATAAAAACAGTCGAATATTTATTTTCCCACGCAAAGACACCTTGTCAGCTACATAAACATGGATGCAAATTTATCTCAAGAGGGTGAAACCAAGACCAACTAAGGCTTCTTTCACCTTTTCTTTTACGTTGAAAGTTGCCATGAGAAACTACACAGTAAAACAGGCATTCCAACAGAATAATCTTCTTTTTATTGCATGCCGATTAACTCAATTTCATTCAAGTACAAGAGGTTTTATATGTACAGGTAGATATCCAAACAAGTCATTGGCTTATCATATACAACCATACAATACATTCATGTACGGAAATTCTTTTCTTCCCTCCCCTCTTTCTGGAAAGGCACCAGGCCAGATGGTCTCTGGCGCGAACAAGCTGTACAATTCCCCCATCAACTATTTCAGATGAGCAAAGAATGGCAATAAAGGACACTACATGTAAAATGACTTGAGAAAAGCAAAGACAAACAGTATACTAGGGATTCCCTTTTCTTTACATTGAATTCTGTCCAAAGACCGTGGATAATGAACTCCAACAAATCACCTATCAAGCTTCTGATATAGGTCTGCAAGCGCACGGTACAGAATTTCAGCGGCAGGTGGTCTCGGCAATGAGCCAAGAAGTATATCCGATGCAGATATAGACTGGCTCCCATAGAATCTGGAATTCTCTTTTGAGCGGGTAGTGACAACACTTCCTTCAAGTGAACATCCAACAAATGCTCCTGCATATTCAACAATTATCAAGTTTGACAGCTTTATGGAGCAATCACCATGTAAAAACAATGTGCCAGAAAGGGTGGGTTAGTTTGTGGAGGAGATAAGGGCCTAAATTAAGTTATTTTACATGAGCGAGAGTAAGCTTCTAAAAGAATAATGGAACAACAAAATGCAGAGGAAACATAAAAAGCACATTTAGTTCTATGCTCTTTCAAGAAAGTACAGGTCAGTCAACAGCCACATAAACACATGAAGTAACTGGACTGAAACAGAAAGTGAAAGTGAGTATCAGGTCTTATCATTATATCCTGAACTATGAAAATCAAATAACTGTTTTAAGTGACAAGAATTACTCAAGACAAGGTAAATACCTTTGCTGCAGCTGTATGTATAACAAGCAGCATAACCACTATCACCAGCTCGTAAATCAGCTTCAAATGCTCGTCCAGCGATGCCAACTGCTGCACTTACACCAGCACCTAATGACAGATGTGTATTGCTGCAAAATGTCTTGACTGCCTCAGTAGTTCTCAACAAAATTATGAAATCGGTCAATTCACCTCCAACCTGCAAGCATATTGACCACTCCTTAATAGAATCCAATGGAAAGCAAGCCAAATACCCAGGCATTGATAATTCTATTTAAAGTTGCAATTAAAACATAACTGAGTTAAGTAACAGAAGCATCTAGTCCTCCCTAGCATAAAAATAAATGGGATATGAGCTCAAGGAAATTTTTTCAGAAGAAATATATCATCAACAATATGAATCTCAGCACAACATACACAGCAAAAATTATGCAAAGATATGTGCAAATATGAAACAATTGCATAATCAAAGTAACAGTTCTTTTAGGGGCACTAAAAGGTCAGTGTAACCATACTTTTAAGGAGTAGGTAAAACAAAAGGCAATCAAAATCAAGTCCATCTTGGTTACAGTCTTTTAAACACAAAACACTTATGAATTTTATCAGCAATGACGATCCTGTGGTTTCCATATTCACTTAGCATAACACTTATAAAATTCTATCAATGTAATCTAAGGTAATAAAGATAAATATAATCACCTGAGCTCCCCATCCTGCACCAAGTGTAGATATGGCAGAAGGTGGAGACCATGAACCATCTTCTCTGCGAGCAATTACAAGTCCTGTTCCAATATTATATGTGACCATCACCCCAACTTTCACAACTGTAACTATTGCAAGGCCTTTAGCTCGTCGTAGGATGGCATCTGGAATTGACTTCTCTGGTTTCAAATAGCCTACCTGTCAATGGAAATGCACCAAATCAGAATTAAACGTAGCACGATATCACGAGATATTTGGCTATCCAAATCAACAGATCCATGAGTTCCTCTCCCAACCAGTGCAGGATACAAGTTGCATGCACTTTTTCTTTATTTCTCTCTTTTGTCTCCTTTTGGGCATACATAAGAACAAAAAGCTGAATATAAAGGAGAAAACAAAACGAAATATAGGCCAACAAGCTTTTCTAGATAGCAAGCTTTTTTGTTTCATTTCCTATTGAGAAGGAGGTCATATACTACAAAACTCCCAATTTATGTCCACCTACAAAATTTGTTATGCATCAGCAATGAATGACAAGAAAAAAAAAGAAAAGAAAAAAAGCTTGGGATCTTAAAAACTTACCTTATTATAACCTTGAATTGTGTTTGCTGCCTTATAAATCTCATATTCCATGGTCTGTCCCCATGGAAAGTTGGCCCACGATCTCAAAGTGCTAAGGTCTGTCAGGTCATGCGTTGGAAGCTGGGCAGCATTGCTTACTTTGTCCATCAAGTATGGCTGGACAGATTCAAGTCGCACACAACATACATCACAGACTCGCTGGGGATCTGCGACCCGAAACTTTACTGGCAACAAACTCTTTCCTTTAGAACAGTCGCCACAAAATATTCCTCCACAGAACCTGCAGTGATGCCTGGAGCACATAATCGGATGAAACCGCACACCACAAAGCATACAAGAAGAAGCAGTGCTATCAGGAAGCCATTTAGGAGGCTCCGCTTCAAGAATTTCACTCACGTTACCAAAATTAGCCTCAGAGAGAGTTTGAGCCATCTCTTGCCAAGCTTGCTCAAGTAAATGGCTGGATAACCTCGAAATCCCACACCCCTGTAAATCACCAGAAGCAATTGCATTCACTTTTCCACGAGCAGCAAGTAACATTTCTACTATCACATCCCACATCGTCAACTCCTTGTCTTCTCCAATATACTGACTCCACCCCATATCACCTTCAGGAAAATAACCACCATTGGAAAGAAAACTTCCTCTATCTGCCCACTCTTCACGATCGCTTTCTATCATGGGCGGAACGGAAACAGGTATCCAAACCCCAGTTTCTTCATAATGGGGTGAGTCATAATAAAAGTAATTCCCTAACTTTTGGTGAGTAGTTTTTGTTTCTTCTTTCTTGTCATCGTTCCCCTTCTCAAATATTCCAACTAACCCAGTATCAGATTCTTCAGGTCTAATCTTTGTTTGGCTCCCAATTCCCTCATTATCCTGTGATCAGCACATAATTATAATTACCCAATATTAAAGATTAATTTTTTTTTCCTTATTATTCTGGTTTTCAACTAATAAATAACATAACAAAAGAGAAATATCAAATTAAAAAATCTTCCATAATTCTTAAAACAAAGAACAACACAATAAAATAAAGAAACAAGCAATTGAATTGAATTAAATTGAACTCGAAGAAAGGAAAGTAATTTTACCGATGAAGGAGAACTGGCGGGATGATGGAAATCAGTAACCCTAAAATCCAGATTGTGGGTATTTTCAGAATTTACAGGGTTGCCCTCCATGTAAAACAACTCTTAACAGAACGAAGCAAAAACAATTCAGCATGCCATCAACTGCAATAAATAAATTTATGATCTTTCAATTTGCAAGTGGAATAATATAATAATAACAATGAAAATAGATAGAGATACAGAGAAAGCAAACGGTGAGTTAGCTGTCATGGGAGACTTGCCGTAGCTGGATTTATTGGCGTGTCTTGTGTTAAATGTATTTCCGTCTTCATGAAGTCTATTTAAGTTTTTTTCTCCTTCTTTTTTCAACTTCATATTAAGACAAAACAATTTTATCAATTGAGTCCTTAAACATGTCACATTTGATTTTCTCAATTAGTTCGTATGGGAAAAAAGATCCAATTAAGGCTCTATTTGTTTGGGGGAAAACAAGTTTCATAGAAAAACCAATTTCGAGGAAGCTATTTTCCTGAAAATTATTTTTCAAGAAAATATTTTCTCATCGTTTGACAATTATATGAAAAAGCTACTAGAAAATATATTCCAACGTTTGTTTGATACAAAAAATTAAAATAAAAAAACTTATGTGATTGTTATATCAACAAGTTTTGAGAAAATTTTAAAAAGACATTCATAATTTCATAATATAAGATACATTTAAAAAAATTTAATAAATTTTCATCAATACTAACTCTAAAATTTTAATTCAAAAAATAAAATGTATTTTTTTAACAATCAAACCAAATCATCAAATTTACTTGAGACAAAATTAAGTCAATATTCATATTTGGTAAAAAAAGATTCTAAGTAATCTTAGCATTATTATTTTAGTAACTCAATTAAGAATTTTTTTTTAAGAAATTGAACTGATAATTTAGTCTAAAAAATAATTTGATAAATTAGTTTTTATCATCTATAGATAATTATTTATTTGATCTCAAAAGATTAATGTTGGAATAATTTGTAACTAATTTATTCATTACAATTACCAACAAAATTTTACAATTGATTAAAATTATAAATTATTGATTTAATTGCAAATGAATAGTGTTGAAAAAATAATGTATTTATTGATGAATTAATTAATTTTAATTTCTTTTTACAAAAAATTATAGTCTTGTAATAATCATTTTCAATCATTTAACTATAGCTTAGGTAGTGATTGAGACAATAGTAAAAAAAGAGATAAGTTATTGAAATATTTATTATAAAAATAATTTTAAGGTGTAAAAATGGTTTTTAAGAATATTTAATGTATCTATAAATCAAAAAATCAAATATTAGTAAAGATAGAGAAAAAATAATTAAATAATTAAAAATTAATATGATATATTTTAAATAAAAAGAAGATAGAGAAAAAAATTGTTAAAATATATCGAGAGAGAGTTATATAACGAGAGAGCGAGACGACTCGTGAGAAGGAAAGTGTTTTCCTCTTTTGAAACCGGTAAAACATTTTCCCAAAATTACTCTATCATTTTCCGTTGACTAGAAATCATTTTCCATTAACTTTTTTTCCGAATGTGAAATAAATACTGAAAAATGAGGAAAACAAGTTCTAGGAACTTGTTTTCCCCCAAACAAACGCGACCTAAGAAATATCTAGAACTTCGGGAACCTAATTGTATATTTTTTGTTTTTGAAATTGAGAATTGAGTAATCCATTAAGGTGTTTTTTTTTCCTTTTTTTAACAAGTAATGAAATTGTGGAAATAAAAATAAAAATTTTATTCTCACTTTATAGTTATTTAATTAAAGAAAAGAAGTAAAAATGAAAATGAAAATCATATGTAATTTTATTTTTATACAAAAGAAGTAGGAATAAAAACAAAAAATCTGAATGACTTTTTTCTTGAAAATAGTAATACATTATTTTACTATTATTTTTATCAACATCACCAACTCTACTACTAATACTACCACTACCGACGCCTCCTCTATTAGGAGTGAAGATAAAAAAAATTATAAAAAAATTATCATAATTATTATTATGCTACCACTTTTTCCACCATTATTGTCATACTTTTTTTTACACTTCCACATCTAGACATTTTATGGTAATAATATCAATTTTTTTTAAAATATATTATACTGTTATTATTATTATCACAATCACCTTTTCTTTCTTTTTATTTTTTACCATCGCTATAATTACTTTTATTATTTTTACTACCATTTATATCATAGTTAATGAAATTATTTTTTAATTATTATTTTTAATTATCTTAAAATTAAATATTAAAAATTTAAATTTCATTATAATTTTTATTAATGTTTCAAAAATATTATTGAAATGAAAATATCATTTCAATTTTTTAATTTACATTTCCATTTCTATATTTTCATTCTTAATAATTCAACGACACCTAAAGATATTTTGAATTTTCATCCTTTCTATCAAGTACAAAATTATTCATATATGGAATGAGATTATTATTAGTTACTCCTACTAATGAATTCCTTCCCCAAGCCATTGTATTAATTTTGTTCTTAACATTACCTAGGGTACGTTTGGTGCCGATTAAAAACAAAAACAAAAACAAAAAAAAACAAAAAAAAAAAAAAAAAAAAAGCAAAACACGCTTGTCTCACAACTAGATTTTATTTTATTTTTTTAAAGAAAACCCTTTACCAACACATTGATACTTCTAAAATCCACATAATAATTAGAAAAGACCGAGTTTTGAATGGCCATCCTCAATTTAGTATTTCTTTTCAAAATTGCCTTCTTTCCATTGTCAAATTTTCACATTTTACCTACTTCTCTTTCTCATTTCTATTTATCAAAAAAGAAAATAAATAAATAAATTGAAAAAAAACATAAAATTGACAAAACGACTAAATTGTAAACGAATTTAAAAATATACGGATTAATTGTATAGTGTTATAAAATAATGAATGTCCATCTACTTTTCATATCCCCACTACTCATAATCCTTAATGTGATTCAATTCACAATTCAATATGAGAAATTAAAAAGGTGATACAATTGATGTACTTTTAATTATTCATAGTCCCTTCCAATTCTCATCTCAATTTTGAGGCATATAAATAGGCTTGATTGTTCATTTGTTGATGTACAAGTTTTTAGAGAGATTAAGAGAATAACTTGAAGTTTTCTCACCTATATTCACTTTATAGTGAATTCTTCTTCTTGCCATCCTTCCTTTAAATTCTCATATATCTTTTATTTTTCGTAACACGTTATCGGCACAAAGCTCTAACCAATCGAGACAATAGACTATGAGGTATGTATCTACCAAAAGATTTAACCAATTCTTTCAACAATTGGATTTCTTCTACATAAGTGCTCCACGAAAAGATCTAAATTATTTAAATCATTAAGAGGTATGTATCTAATTTATTCATGTACTTTAAATTTATTGATACATGAAATATATATTTGAAAAACTTAAATGATCTACTAATGATCTAATATATGTTATTTGAAAAGCTTTAATTTTATTATTATATTTGTTCTTATTTTCTAATATTATTATTATATATTGTATTATAGAATTTTTATCATATCAAACCTCATAAACTTGATTTGGTTACTCTTAATATTTTGAATAAGAATTATTGATTATGAGTGCTTGATTTTGAAAAAATATTCTCTACTTTTTATGTCTTGGATATGCTCATGCAGTAGTATATCGAGAAAAAGAGTTTAAGAAATATTTTGGATCGATTTCATACTTGTTAATGGCTAAATAAAATGAAAAAGAATAAATCTCATCCAATTGGATCTACTCCATTCCCCGAAGTGAATGTGACAATTTATAATAATTTTAGACATGGATGAAGATGTGATCATAGCCATGGATATAGTCAAAATAATTATCATTATAATTGTGATGACCATAATATTACATCTTACCACCGAAGTGGATAACTATGAAAAAAAAATGAAAATAGATAATGTCGGCATTCCGAAAATGAATTTTATAAATATGGTATGAATGGACATTAGTCGTGCACTTCCCGTACATCAAAGCACCTCATCAAGCCTTGTCAAACCTTGTTGAAAAAGAAAAAGAAAATAAAATATGGAGGCTAATTTTATATATCAAAGTAATAGTAATTGAAATTAATTACTTGTTAGTTTTTATATTTATAAATAAAATATTTTATATTTCTTATAATTTATGTTGTATATTAATGGTTACAAATTTATTTTACTATTTATTTATTTGTTTATGTTTATGAAGCATATATTGATTTATTTGATTATTTATTTTATGTTAATATTATATATGATATATCAATCCAATAGAAAGCTCTAGAAGAGTGACTATATTATTATCTAAAGAGATAGATTTTGAAGGCTCTAGAAGAGCAATTATATCATGACTTGAAGAGATAAATTTTTGAAGCTCTAGAAGAGTGAATAAATTATTACTTGAAGAGAAAATTTTTAAAGGCTCTAGAAGAGTCGATATATTATTACTTGAAGTGACTAATTTAAAGGCTCCGGAAGAGCAAATATGTTATTATCTAAAAGGATAAATGTATTATGAATGATGTACTATTCTCTTCAAAGTCTCATAGAAATTTATTGAGTTTTAAAGATATTCATCCGAATTGATATCATATCAAGATAGTAAATATGAATACTTATATGTTATAATCATATATCGGGTAGAAAATATCTATCAAAAAAATTTATTTGTTTTCTCTTATAGTCTTTATTACAAACATTGAAATGATTGAAATAAATATTATAGTAAACCGAAGTTTACTAATTCAAATCTTTTACTATGTGACATGACCAGTTGTATTATCTTGGATCTTTCATGATGCAAAAAAAATTATTAAAAAATTTATATGAATATCTATTGAAGAGCCGAGATGATTCTTTAATTTAATGAACTTTCATACTCTATATGTTGCCAAGGAAAATTGATGATTAAGCGATCATCAAGTAAAATTGAGATTGAATCTCCAGGTATTTTAGAATGTATTCAAGGTGATATATGTGGATCAATTCATCCACCATATGGACCATTTAAATATTTTATGATTTGGATAAATGCATCCATAAGATGGTCACATATGTGCTTATTATCTACTCGGAATCGATGTTTTCGGGATTGCTAGCAAATAATTTGATTTTGAGCATAATTTTTAAATTATGCCATTAAAACAAGTCACCTTGATAATGCTCGATGAATTTATTTCTCAAGCATTAAATTATTATTGATTGGCTATTAAAATAAAGGTTGAACATCCTGTTGCTCATATTCATACTCAAAAAGGTTTAGCAAAATCATTTATCAAAAGGCTCCAATTGATAGCTAAACCATTATTTGAAAATAAAACTCCATGTTTATGTTTGGGGACATACAATCTTACAAGCAGCAACACTTATTTGCATATGACCCATAAGTTATAAAAAATTCTCTCCTCTTTAATTGATTTATGGTCATGAGCTAATTATTTTTTATTTAAGAATTTTTGGCATTGCGGTGTATATCCTTAATGCTCCTCTATAATAAAATAAAATGGGCACTTAAAAGAGATTGAGAATATATAAATCCTCTTCAATAATTCAATCTCTTGATTCATGAACAAGAGAAAATTTTTACGGCTCGATTTATCGACTTGTCATTTTGATAAAATAGTTTTTTCAACATTAGGGGAGAGAATAAGCAGAATAAGCGATTGAAAATGCTAAAAAAAGATTACATGGAGTACTCTATCTTATATCACTTTGATTCTTGTAGAAGATAACGTGAACTAGAAGTTTAAAAGATAATTCATTTACATGGTATTACAAACCAACTGCTAGATGTATTCTCGGATCCTAAATGAGTAACCGTAATGCATGTACCCGCCGAGAATGCCCCTATTAGAATTGATGTCCCGGAAGGACGATCTATTAATGTTATAGCTAATGAATTTAAAGCATATCCGAAGTGTGGAAGACCGATCGATTCTAAAGATAAAAATCCCTAAAAGAAAAGGGCAAGATGAAAATATTCGCAAAACGGTCCAATATATTTCGAGAATAGGCTTCCGGAAGAAGTCCAAATACTTGAGAAAAATCAAGAGATTTTGATAAATTATATCAATGCGGGGAGAAAATAGGACCGAAAAGAAACATCTATTGATAAGATTTTTGCATATAATATTACAATTGATATTATGGATGAAAATAAGGATCTTGAGCCAAAATTTATTGAAGAATATTAATATAAAGATGATTGGCTTAAATGAAAAGAGCAATCCAGGCGAATTATGTTCTCCTATAAAATAGTATTTTTCGAACCCATAGTTAAAACACCCGAAGATGTTAAGCCGATGGGATACAAATAAGTATTTAAGCAAACACGAAATAAGAAAGATGAGATTATAAGATATAAAGCAAAACTTTTAACACAAAAGTTTTCGTAAAGAATTGACATTGACTATGAGGAGACATATTCTCCTATAGTGGATGCAATTGTCTTTTGTTATCTCATTAGCTTGGAAAAATATATGAAAAACATTTAAATGCATGCAATGAATGTGATCACAGTTTATTTATTCATTTGAAATGATATCGGTATGAAAGTCCTAGAAGGACTAAACATGCCGAAGCATGTAATACATATTCTCGAGAAAAGAATTCAATTAAATAATAGAGATCTCTATTAGGATTATTAGTATTTATTTTATTATTTTAGTTTTTAAAAATTCAATTTATACTTTTTATATTTTATTTTTATATCTACTCGCTTATTACTAACCCATGTGCATGTGATATGATCACTTCAATGATTATTTATTGAAAGAAAGTTATAAAAAATAACCCTATTTGTTCATATGTTTTTATTTAAAAAGAGGTTTATTTTATATGTTAATTACTTAAATATTATTGGAACTCTCGAAGAGATTCCAAGTGTCATAAGTTACCTAAAAAAGGGAATTTGATGTGAATATCTTGGAAAAATAAAATGTTATCTCGACTCGTAGTTCGAGTACTCGGAAAATGAGATTTTCATTCATCGATCAATTTATATCGAAAAAGGTTCTACAATGATTCTATATAAAGATCATTCATTGACTAGCCCAATGGTAGTTCATTCACTTGATATCCAAAAAGACCTTTTTCGACCTCGAGAAGATAACGTAGAACTATTTGGTCCTGAAGTACCATATTTTAGTGCCACAGGTGCATTGATGTATCTTGCTAATAATACTCGACTCGATATAGTCTTTTCTATAAATTTGTTAGCAAGTCATTGTTCCGTTTCAATATAAAGACATTGAAATAAAGTTAAATATATATTACGTTATCTTCGAGGAATAATTGATATGGGCTTATATTACTCTAATAAATCAAAGACAAAATTAATTGATTATGCGGATGCGGGTTATTTATCCGATCCACACAAAGCTCGATCTCAAGCTGGTTATGTATTTACATATGGAGATACGAGCTATATCATAGCGTTTTATGAAGCAAACTATAGCTGCCACATCTTCAAACCATGCGAAATACTAGCAATTCATGAGGCAAGTCGAGAATGTATTTGGTTAAGATTAATGACCCATCATATTCAAGAGACATGCGGTTTATCCACTAGCAAGGAAGATCCAATAGTCTTGTATGAAGACAATATCGCTCGTATCGCTCAATTGAAGGAAGAATACATCAAAGTGATAATCCAACAAATTTATTCACTAAAGCATTACCTACCACAACTTTTGAGAAGATGATTCACAAGATTGGAATGCGTCGTCTTAGAAATCTTAAATAATGCTTTCAACGGGGGAGACCAAAATGGAGATTAATGTGTGCAAGGAATATTGTACTCTTTTTCCTTCACTGAGATTTTTTTCCCACTAGGTTTTTTCCTAGTAAGATTTTAACGAGGCATGTTCCTTGTACAATGGACATTCAAGGGGAGTGTTATAAAATAATGAATGTCCATATGAATGTCCATCTACTTTTCATATCCCCACTACTCATAATCCTTAATGTGATTCAATTCACAATTCAATATGAGAAATTAAAATGGTGATACAATTGATGTACTTTTAATTATTCATAGTCCCTTCCAATTCTCATCTCAATTTTGAGGCCTATAAATAGGCTTGATTGTTCATTTGTTGATGTACAAGTTTTTAGATAGATTAAGAGAATAACTTGAAGTTTTCTCACTTGTATTCACTTTATAGTGAATTCTTCTTCTTGTCATCCTTCCTTTAAATTCTCATATATCTTTTATTTTTCATAACATATAGTTTCTAAACTAATTAATTAATTTTTAGACCATAGGGACTAAGTTATAATTAACTAAAAACAATCCAACACTAATGCTAGAAGATTTTCTTGGATTTTGCAATCAAAGTAATCGTAGATTGGGTCACCCACCTTTCTAATGAGCCCAAGCTCCATCAGAGCCCATCACAATTATTTCACCTTTCATTTTGCTGTGTTTTTGTCTCAACAGCATTAGTGGCGAGCTAATTTTTAGTAGGGTTTATAACCTCGAATTCCTTTAACAGACTTCCCAATCGCAGAGGAGTGAAGACCCCCCAACAAGATAGAATTTTTTTTCTCTGATTTATTTGGTATTGAAAAATGGGTTGGAAAGCAGCTGAGAAACTGATTAGGCACTGGAAAATACTCAGAGGAGATAATGTAAGACCCCAGATATCAATAACATCACAATCATTTCTTTCCTCTTCTGAAGATGGATGATTATTTTCATTTACAGGTGATGATAATCAGAGGAAAGGATAAAGGTGAGACTGGTGTTGTTAAGCGTGTCGTTCGCTCTCAAAATCGTGTTATTGTCGAGGGCAAAAATCTGGTAAGACATTAACTTTTTTTGTTCCTTTTCGATCTTGATTTTCTGTTTGAGTTACTCTGCTTTCTGTTTAGCTTGAAAAAACAAGAACTGGATTTTTTTTTTGTTCTTCATTTATGGTTGCCTGCCCTTCATTGGTATAGTTGGCATCATTTATGTGAAGGTTTCATTTTTGGTATAAAATTCCTGGTAAAATAGAACTACGAGTGCTAACTAATTTTGAAACCACGTAGATTTCATAAGAGTTAAAGTTTCTCTTTTCTTGATAGGAAGAAATCAAAACGACAAATAGGATGGTTCAATTTTTTCCCTTTTCTTGGCGTGATGATTTGAACCTTATTTGTGTCAACTAATCTGCAAAGAGAAAAGTAGTCGAGGGAGGTGAGATTATGTTATGGGTGGTGAATTTTACCCTTAAATAGTGTTCATACCAATGAATTCCAAGCAGGGAATTGGTGAGGCTATGCTCTGTTTACTGGAAGTGATACTTTGTCTCATGTTCTATTAATAATTGTTTCTGTTTTCCTCTGTTTGTCTGTTAGGATTTTCCGTGCTTGATTGTTAGCAATTTGTCTGCAAGACATAAGCTTAGTTTGTGTATCTGTTTTGTTCCAAGTCCTAGTCGATAAATGAATTACCAGATTTTTTGTTAATTAGATTCCTGGAGATTTTTTTTGTTGTCTTGTAAACTATCTTTCACTGTCTTCTTATCTTGGTTGCAGGTGAAAAAGCACATCAAGGCAGGTGCAGGTCATGAAGGTGGAATCTTTACAGTTGAAGCCCCACTTCATGCATCAAATGTTCAAGTTGTCGACCCGGTTACAGGGTATGGTTAACTATCATTGGTGTTTATCTTCCCGTGTTTCAAGTTTTGAACCCAATTTGAAACCCTTGGTTGCTTGTGCAGGAGGCCTTGCAAGGTTGGAACTAGATATCTGGAAGATGGTACCAAAGTAAGAGTTTCGAGAGGTCTAGGAGCATCTGGGTCCATAATTCCTCGCCCGGAGATTTTAAAGATAAGGACAACTCCAAGACCTACTGTTGGTACATCACTGGAAACTTATGTTTTCTACATTACTCATTTGATTAGCATTTAAAACTTTTGAAATTTGCATTTGATGGGAGATTGGAATGGGATATGAGGCCAATGCAGAATGTTTTTCTTTGCTTATTTATTATAAATTCACCTGGCACCTGCTAATGCCAGGGGGATATAAAGCTATCCTCTGAATAAATTACAGTGTCTATAACTCTTGGTATCTTTTGGTAAGTATAACAAATTAAATTGCCAAAGGGTAAAACCAAGGACATAGAACGTGTAGAAGCACCTCAACATGCCAAAACAAAACATATCTGTACGTTTTGAATTCAGGAACAGTGGGGAGTTATAGGATGGTGAATGAGAATGGTTAGGAGGGTTGATTCCAATCCAAAATAAAGGTTTAATAGAAGTGAAAGCATAGGTAAGGTTAAAAAATTGTTTGAATTCTTGATGTTACTTTTAGAAGTCATAGCATGCACTTCATGATTCATAATTGATGGAATACAGAAAAGAATAAGCAGAAGGTTCATCAACATGTATTAGAAATGGAAGAAGCTTACTAACATATATAGTTTGTTTATTAAAAAAAAAAAAAGGATTCTGATCTTGAGTGATTGGAATCTTTAATATCATAAGATGGTATGTTTTGAAAATCTTTCTCTATATTGGCCAATTTGATTAGTGGGGTTGTAAGCAGGTGATTACTGTTGATCACCAGCATTTGTTATTTGAATTAAACAATTTGGACCTGATTGTGGTTAAGTACGGTTAAGTTGCTTATTCATTATATATTTGCTTGAAATAGCATGTTGTGTGAGGTGTGTGATGACGAAAAGTCTTGAGTGGGACAAGTACCTCGTGGCTCATGGCTGGTTTAAGTTCATAGAATTCTGCCGGCAAGTCACAAGATTGGATGCGCATCATCTAAAAGGTTTTTTGCTATGTGAGCATTGTTCTGGTGTTTATTCCTTGGGTGAAAAACATGTTTCTTGATTGGTGGAGGGGAAAGGAGGGATGGGGAATGTATTAGGCATTTCTGCAAGATAATATTGGTTGAATGGCTTTTGACAGGACCGCAGTAATTCCGTTAAGTTAAATTATTGTTCTTGATAAAGAAAACACACCCATTCGTTTATTAGACGTGGTTGAGTTTAATCAATGACATTTCCTATAGAACTAGTTAACATATACAGAGTATTATTATAAGTCCTTAAGATAGTCTTTCAATTGTTTCTGCTCCTGCTGTTCGAAGTCATCTTTGGCAATAAAACTGATTTGTTATCATTTTTGTTGTTGTTTCAGCTGGTCCCAAGGATACTCCAATGGATCTTGTATTGGAGAAGACATACGATGCTAAAACTGGGAAGGGCATGCCTGACCTTTGAGCAAATCTTGTTCTTTTTTTTGTGGCAGACATTAAACATGTTGATGGAAAATGTTGCAGAATGTGAAAAATAATGATCTTGTAAGGAATTCAGCTCCTACTTTTATCATTTGATTAGCAAATTTTGAAAGTAGAATGATTGGATTAATGTGTAATCGCTCAAATGTAGCTGATCTGCTTATGTGTGCGTGTTTCTTGCCAAAACAGAAATACTAACTCGACCAACCCAGATGAGTCCTGAAATGAAAAGGTAGTTGGGCTAAAGATGCCATTGATGCTGTTCAGGGGCTTTCATTTAAGGCCAATTTGAGAAGAGTGCTTTAATTGACACTGTCATTTTTGTTTATATCGTTACTGAAATCAACCAAAAAGAGACACCATTCTTCCAAACTAATTGGGATTCTGCGTTTCTAACTTCGGTAACTCCAATAATTGTAGAAGGTGGAGGATAACGTATGGTCTTGAATGCGTGAATCTCTCCCTTTCCAAAGTAGTTTTATATTAAAACATGTAACAAATACTTCGAGCTTTTTCTTGTTCTTACGAGGTTCTTTTTGGATTCCTTTTATTTGTGCATTGGGGTGTGTACTTTTTGGACTTCAAGTTATCAAAACTTAATATTAACTTATTGTGTGGGAATTTTTGAGAATTGATTAGAGGTCTGGTTGGTAGGTTGTCTAGATAACTAGTATTGTAATTTATAAAAATAACCGTCAACTAGCTAAATAGAATGAATGTAAGTAGTTGGAAGTGAGAGGATTGGTTATTGCTAGCAATACGTAAGTTGAGTGGTTGGTAAGTGGTTAAAGTTTAAGCAAATAGAGCTTTAGATATTGTCCGAGTAGAAGAGCTTTGAGAGAGAGTCAAACGTGTTTTTGGTAGGGATTAAAAGTTGAAATTTTCTTATAATGATGTAATGATGGTATTTATAGTGAATTGAGGATGGTCATTGACTAACATAATCTTGTCATGTTATCTAAACTTAGACAATCATATTTAAATTGAAGAAACTAGGTTCTTTTGAATTAAATTATTTCATCTTGTTAGCAAAATGATAAATGAAGTAACAATTGATTTTCATTTAGTGGATCTTGTTTCGAACCTATTAAGTCAATTTTTTTAATGCATTTTAAATATAGGGTATGGACACTAGCCTTGTTAGAATATATGCATTCATTTTTGCGATTTAAAGCCTTATGTTGAGTGAGGTCAATCCTTAGTTCGATTAATTTATTGTCTAGCTTGATCCTATGTCAATAATAATAATAATAATATAACATGAATTAACACATAATAAAAATTAGCTAATTTAATTAATTTTAGAGAAAATTGAGTATATACATTTAGTCGCAGCGTAGATAACTTTGTCGGTAAAAGTGTTCGTGCGATCATGTATGGTGAGGTAGAGAAACATAAAATTAGAAAATATGACATGGTATAAGTAGTTTGTAGAACATGTGAACTAGTATTCACCTTGTAGACTACTAATAGGAAGGTATTGCCACATGTATAAGAGTGACTATAGTAGGCTTGCCATAGATCTTTTAAAACATAGGAAACATATGAAATATGTGATAGGCTTGCTATGAGCCTTTCAATGCATGGTAACTATTTACAAGCTTGTCATAACCCTCATTATTTAACAAATAACGCAACAATCTAATTTTCTCACGAGTTCAAATAAAAAAAAAAGGCCCGAATGTGGCTATTTGAAGTGAATTTTGACCTTTAAAATACCATGATGGGTTCTCTCTCAGCACGAAACCATAACTTCTAAATTAACTTTCTAATATAAAAGTTATATCAAATGGACGCTCGGATAAAAAATTACAATCCTTTATAAGTAAACTATTCATACTTGTTCTCTCATATAGTCTTTCTTGATTTTTCAAACCCAAAAAGAATTCATTAAATGTATTATGAAAATTTCACACATCATCAAATACTCAAATAAAAGAAAAACCCGAACTTTCAAACAAAAACTTTGTTTCATAAATACATGGCTTGAGAGAGAGAGAGCGCACAACCAAAAGTTTCTATTTCAAATCTCTTAAACATCACCATGACTTTGCCAAAACGACATATGATATGTTCATTGATAAAATTGGCCACGGTTAGTCGTTTTGTTTTCTTTAAATGCATTACTACCATTCACTTAGTAAAACACTCAATAGAAGTAAGTATCTAGATAAGTCTTTTAGATGGTAAGATGATAAGGCCAATCAAATCTAGTCTTCAAGTATGAAATGACTTAGGGATTGTAATGCCGTGGAGCTCAACAATAAAAGCATAAATGGCGTTGGCATGTAGTTAGCAGAAGACACTTCTTTACAAAGTGAAATGAGTTTTTCTTTTTATTTGGTCAATAATAAACTAGACCTAGCAATTTTTTTATAAAGTTTTCTACCCCGTAGGTGCTCACCACAAGTTTCAACATACACCTTATCCATCATCTTATTTGCTTTCTCCATGAAGAAGAATTTCAAAGGATTTTTAGGTTGTATTTGTTTGGGAGAGAATAAGTTTTAAGAACTTGTTTTTTCCATTATCCCTTATTTTTCGATGTTTGTTTTGCGTTTAGGAAAAAAAAATCAATGAAAAATAATTTTTAGTCAATGAAAAATGCTATTGTATTTTTGAAAAAGTGTTTTCCGAGTTAAAAAAGAGACATTTTTCCTCTCTCTAACAAGTCGTCTCGTTCTCGCGTTACTCATCTCTCTCTCTCTCAATATATTTTAACAATTTTTTTCTCTATCTCCTTTTCATTTAAAATATATCAAATTAATTTCTAATTATTTCTTATGAATTATTATGAATTATTTAATTTTTTTTATTTCTACTAATATTTGATTTTTTGATTTACAAATATATTAAATATTCTTAAAAACCTTTTTTACACCTTAAAATTATTTTTATAATAAATATTTTAATAATTTTTCATTTTTTTTTACCATTATCCCAAACACCACATAAACTATACTTAAGTGATTGAAAATGATTATTACAAGATTGCAAACATTTGTGAAAAAATTAAAACTAATTAATTCATTAATAAATATATTATTTTTTCAATACTATTTATTTCCAACCAAATCAATAATTTGTGACTAATTTTAGTTAGTTGTAAAATTTTATTGGTAATTGTAGTTAATAATTAGTTACAAATTATTTCAACATTAATCTTTTGAAATCGAATGAATAATTATCTACAAATGATGACTAATAATTTAAACTATTTTTTAGACTAAATTATCAGTTCAATTTTCAAAAAAAAAAAAAAGATTTCTTAGTTGAGTTACCAAAATAACAATGTTAGGATTACTTAAAAATTTTGTTTTACTAAATGTGAATATTGATTTGATTTTTTCCCAAGTAGTTTTGATGACTTGCTTTGTTAGTTAAAAAGAAATATTTTATTTTTTTGATTTTTTGAATTTAAATCTTAGATCCAGTATTTATAAAAATTTATTAAGTTTTTCTAAATGCATCTTCTATTGTGAAATTGTGAATATGTCTTATTGAAGTTTTCTCAAAACTCACCGATATAACAATCACAGATCGTTTTTTTATTTTAATTTTTTGTATCAAACAAACGTTGGAATATATTTTTCAGTAATTTTTTCATGTAATTGCCAAACATTAGAAAAATATTTTTTTTTAAAATAACTTCTCCGAATTGATTTTCCTATTTGAAGTTGTTTTCCGTCAAATAAATGGAGCCTTAGATATAGAATTTTTGCAGAGAACATTCTTCTCCATGAAGAAATTCTAAACTTTGCATTTTAACAACTTAGCATTTTGGTAATTGATTGGCAAAGTATGATTAATGATGTAATCGATACAGTAGTCGCCTTTAATCTCCCACCATTATAATAAAGTGGCATTCATATAGGTCGGAAAACAATGCACGTATGTGATAGACTTATGTATGTTAGGAAGCAAGGCACATTGAAGACAGTTTTGCTACTTATTATTAGCATCAACTATGATTGTCAACTAGTAATATCCAAGTCATTTGAATTTATCCGAGTGTAAGGTCTTCCTTTCCATATTATTGCTCATGGATTTCATTAAGCTTCAATCTTCTCTCATTTTTAAAGAAAAACCTTGTAAGTACCTCCTCGACTCTTTATGATATAATACATCTTTAATAATCAAATAACCATTAATTATAAGTATTGAAAAAAATACATGGACTTGAGAGTTACCTAATGATTAGAACTCACCAATCACTTACTAGTTCTATAAGCCCTAGATTGTTTAATCGTAGTGTATACTCACAATTTTATAATAGTAAACTAGCCAGTAAAGTTTGAACGATGATGCGATACGGAGCTAAAAATGGTTTTTTTTTTTTTTTTTTTTTTTGGCATAGGCCCATTTGGCTTATATGACAATAAGGTTTGAGTCCTTTTAGTTGCATAATGCCAATATGTTTGGTAGTAATCAAGCCTAAGACCAAACCTACATACTCAATTTCATTGTTTATACATGGAAAATCCAACTTAACTAACAAAAAATATTACTTCTTCTTATGATGGGGTAAGCACTATGCTACCACCTCTTCTATATGCGAGTTGAAAAGCCTTGATCCCAATATGTCCAGCAACGAATCAAGCCTAGGACTAAAGTTTCATACTTAGCTTTATTGTTTGTACATGGAAAATCTAGCTTAAATGATAAAGAGATGACTTTTTCTTTTAATAGAATAAGCATTAGGTTAGCACCTCTTCTATATATAATTGAAGAGTCATGAAATAGCAATAACTTTTCTCCCTCAATCAATGCTACCAACATGGATTCCTCATGAAATTTGATGGGATGTCTTTAAAACAAACTTCATATTTGGCAAAAAAGAATTAAGTAAGGATGTCTATTAGTGTTTGCGATTATGGCCACGGCTTGTAAATCAAGCTTAACCAAATAAGCGACCATCTAGCTATCCTTTCCGAAAAGGTAGTCTTTGAATGAAAATATTTAATTGGATTAGACTTGGTCATA